TTAAATATCCCCATGAAAGTGTTAGTTGTTGAAAAGATTTTAATCATGAAGTACCAGGCATGGAAGAATGAAAAATTTCAATACTGAAAAGAAGATCTAAACTTTTCATGTTTTTTTTTAATATTGAGCTAATTTGGAGTTGTAGTTTTTATTTCAATATTAAATGGTTATCATTATTTTTAAAATTAAGGTAACAGCCAAAGTTACAATAAGACAAAATGTGTGATGTAAATTTTATTTGAAGAAATTATCCTTGAATAACCATTTTGCAGCCAAAATATATATTTAATTGAAAGGTGTAAAAAATTTAAAAAAAAATGAAAAAAAATAGTCTAAAGTAACAATTGCCAAAAGTTTTAAAAATGCCAAATGGTACAAAAGTACCTGTCTGCTAATGTACTAGCCAGCTGGCCTGAGGGTTATCTGGACTTTAAGGTGCTAGTTCACCGAAACAAATGGCCGCAGTGACCACTAGTCTCTTCCTTTCGGAGTACCAATTTTAGAGTCTCTGATTTGACTAAAGCATGACCTATAAAGCCAATATGAAAAAACCTGACCCATTTAACAAATTAAAAAAACCATCTCCAATTAATATATAGATAAAAAGTTAAAAACACCCCCAATTAAAATATGGATAAAAATTTAAAACATCCCCAATTAAAATTTGAATAAAAGATAAAAACATCCCCAATTAAAATTTAGATAAAAAGTTAAAAACACCCCCCAATTAAAATATGGATAAAAATTTAAAATCTCCCCAATTAAAATTTGAATAAAAGATAAAAACATCCCCAATTAAAATTTGGATAAAAAGTTAAAACATCCCCAATTAAAATTTGAATAAAAGATAAAAACATCCCCAATTAAAATATGGATAAAAAGATAAAAACATCCCCAATAAAAATTTGAATAAAAGATAAAAACATCCCCAATAAAAATTTGAATAAAAGATAAAAACATCCCCAATAAAAATTGGATTAAAAGATAAAAACATCCCCAATTAAAATATGGATAAAAAGATAAAAACATCCCCAATTAAAATTTGGTTAAAAACATATTGACATAGCCACGGGGCTCTCCAAACTTGTACCAGTATAGCGGATACATGGTACACGGTCTGACCAAGTCGTGCCACTCGGTCTCATACCAGTACTTGCGGATACTTGATATGTATGGTACTTAGATCGCGACTCGGTCGCAGTCTGACCAAGTCACCCTTGGTCACGGTCCAACTGAGTGATCGATCTCACTCAGTTCATGCATGGTACTATGGAAAAGGTTTAGACCAAGTCACCCTTGGTCTGACGGTCAGGGTCCAACTGAGTGATCTATCTCCCTCAGTTCATACCAGTACTAGCAGATACTTGATATGTATGGCGGGGACGTTACTATACCTAAATGGGAGGTATAGTATCTGTGAACCCTAAACACAGATGGCAACTTAACTTCCCATACATGTAATCAAGTATCCAATGCTATTACTGTTATTGTTATATTATGTTTATAAAATAACTAATGAAAAACCTACCACAATAATAAGATAAAAACATTGCATCCAAGTTTCCTGTGTCAAGAAGTGAAATATTTTTTTTATACAAGTTCAAATGTACTAAGTAGTCCAGTTTTAGTTGGTTTCCTTGAAGGTTTTCAAATGGCTCCAAGAAGATGTCACCTTTTGGGTAAATACACTGTGACAGTAACTCAACAATAGAGTAAAACCAAAAAAAAGCTATGAAAATGTCAAAGTACAGTCTTTCCCAATAAACGATAATAACTAATGGTATCTTATTCTTTTTGCCTTGCAAGTCTTTGCATGAAAAATGTCACATTTATGTCATAAAAATGCTAGTCAGATTACCTCCACATAGCTTTGAAATAACTATCAAATGTTGATTATTGTCTAATGACAATGTACCTTCATTTTAAAGGTATACTGTGCATAAAACATAACCGGTCCTGATATTCTTGATCCGAGGTTACACAAGGGTCAGATGACAGACAGTGTTATTACTATATACTAGTAGTACAAATTAGTAGGTACTTATTTCATGATGTAGGTGTTAAAAACTACAGGTCACTGTAAGCTAGTTGTAAGAGGCGCCAATATAACAAAACATGATACAATTTCAAATGCAGAAACCATTATGGCCTGATCTATGTAAAAAAACAAGCGAAAAAAAACAATTCGAAATGATTACCATTGAATTAAAAGTGAACCTCAAAATCGACAGGAATCGCCATACCCCAAAACATAATTCAGCAGATGGAGAGTTGTCTCATTGGCACTCATACCACATCTTCTTATATCTATAGAATCACTATACCCTAAAATATTATTCTGAAGGGATAAATATAACCTGAAATATTATTACAAGCAAATACCAGCTTTTAGTCTTGTGTGGTCTGACCCAGCCAGGGATTTAAACTCAAAACTCTTCCTCACAAAATAACTGAAACAAGATTATTTCTAAAAAGCGGAACAAAATATTATTTTAATAATATATTAAAGAAACATAAAAAAGTTCAAATAAATGTTATTTATTAAAATGAGAAATGATTTATGTAGCAATCACCTTATATAATACTGCTACTTAAGACAAAAGAATATGGCAATATTGAAAAAAAATACACCCTGCTTTAAAAAAAACTCATACATAATTAATTGTAGGGAAGAATCATAGGTGTTTAATTGTTACAGAAATTTCAACTTTACAATCGTTATGAACTAGCAAACAGGGAAATTAGGTCATGTTAACTTTACAATCGTTATGAACTAGCAAACAGGGAAATTAGGTCATGTTAACTTTACAATCGTTATGAACTAGCAAACAGGGAAATTAGGTCATGTTAACTTTACAATTGTTATGAACTAGCAAACAGGGAAATTAGGTCATGTTATTCCACTTGATAATAGTAAGTAGGAAAACAAATAATAATATATTACATTTTTAGTGACCACTAAACATACAAGTAAAACAATACTAGCATTCTATAAAATATACCATTCCTTCTAATGCATTATGAAATACTATTTGACATTTCTTTTAAACTATTGCAAAAGAATTCACTTACTAAAATCAAGAGGAGAAAATGTTCAATTTCATGGACAGGGTTTTAAATATTATTTTAAAGCTAAGAAAAAATTTACGAAGTCACAGGATTTACCATTAAATTTAAAAACAAGTTAAATCTTCTTTTCTACAAAAAACAAGAGTTGTCTCCTATTTGCATTAGCCTTATCATGAAATACTGTTACAAAAAGTACCTACAAATATGGGAGATAACTCATTAAACTTAAAATGAAGTCATAATTGGGAGGAAGGGGCGTTTAATATCAGATAATATTGAGAATGGAAGCACTTTTGTAGATGATGACGATGTAAATATAATTTGAAATCCCAATGTCAGACCAATCCACTTAATGCATTATCTAGACCTGTTTACAAGCCGATTTTATTTACAGAGCTCTAAATAATACTGTCATCTTACTTTATTTACATCTTATATAGCATATCTAACAAAAAATATATAACAATTATATATAAAACTAATACATTCTAATTTATTGCAGGCCTTCCTTGCAGTGAACAAAACTAGCTCATATGAAGAGATAAACAAGTGTATTCCCTCCCCTTAACCCTAAAACCCAGCCTGCTAGTTTCCATTCCTCACAATTTATGCTCAGTTTGTTAAATTTAAAAACAAGTTAAATCTTCTATTTGCATTAGCCTTATCAGGAAATATCAAAATATCATAAACTGTTATCACAGAGATATGTCTCGCCTTTTTGTAATTTTGATTATGCAAATGTTGAAATCAAAATAGCAATACTTTAACATCTTACAAAAGTTATGCAAATATTCAAAGTCAATGAACCATGACTGAGTTACATGGCTAAACAATCTCCATGTAAATGAGATGTGCCAATGCTAATACAACTGCATACCAAATACCATTGACTTATTATAAGTCGTTCCCAAACCTAAATACAAATTAACTTGTAAACTATGTAAAAGTTTCAAAGTCAATGAACCATGAAGAGGGGTTGGGGCTATATAATCTCCATGGAAACTGATACTTGCAAATGCCAATAAATTTGCATACCAAATATCATTGACTTAACATTAGCAGTTCATCTTAAACTGATCTAATCACAAACTAATACATATAAACTAAGATAAGTTTCAAAGTCATTAGACTGTGACTGAGGGACGAGGCCAAAAAATTCTCCATGGAAATGAAATGTGCCAATGATTATACAACTGCATACCAAATATCATTGACCTACCACTTGTTGTTCCCCATAAACTGACCTAATCACAAACTAATACATGTAAAATAAGCAAAAATTTCGAAGTCAATAGACTATGACTGAGGGGGCAGGGCGAAATAATCTCGATGGAAATTAGATGTGCCAATGCTTATACAACTGCATACCAAATATGATTGACCTACCACTTGTGGTTCACCATAAACTAGACCTAATCACAAACTAATACATTGTTGACGCCATCGCCGCCGCCGGAAACAGCATACCTATGTCTTGCTTTTTGACTCCGTCAAGGCGAGACAAAAAGTACCTTCAAATATGGGAGATAACTCATTAAACTCTAGGAGTAGTTATCTGGAATAGCTGTGAATTGGATGGAGAGTAGTCTCATTGTCACCAATTTCACATCTTCTTATATCTATATACCTATAACAGGATGGTAGAGCATAAGGGCAGGAGTAAAACAATATGCCCCCCCCCCCCCCCCAACTGAAAGGGCATAAAAATAGATTTAAACCGATGGCAGCTGATTGTTCTCACAAGTCACATCAAAGTCTTACATTAAACACCTAGTACATGTATTAACTAAGACCATTTAAGGGGGAACTGTAGGCCTATGAAATTTGAATGTAATCAACATATCTGGTTTGAAAGAATAAATCTTTACAACTGGCTCTCCCCCCTCTTTCTATCTCTCTCTTTAAACATAATCGATTACTACATATTTTTTTTGTCAATAAGTGTTTCCAAGTTCCTCAGATCAACAGAATCCATTCTTCTGCTTCAGTTGATTTCTAAATTAATAAGCACGCTTTGTCTACAAATAGAAAATAAAATTTCATTCAAAACATAAACTAAAATTCACAAAATAATATATATAATGTTGATGTCAGAAGATATTTACATTTTATCCATATATGGGGTAACCAGGAGACAGAGGCTAAAGAAATTCTTCATATAAAGCAGTTCAGAATTGTATTAAATCTTATGACATCTTAAGTATGAAATGCCACCATTGTACTTACATTTTACTTCAGATTTGTTTAAAATAAACATGTCAATTTTTTCAGGAACTATGGATTAAAAATTTTCATTTAACCAAAGATTTGATGGATAAGGACAATATGCCTTCAAAATAGTTTAACCCTGCCACACTCTGTATGTGCCTGTAATTCAGTGGTTAATGTTTGTTGCTGTGTTACGTATTTGTTTTGTTCATTATTTTGGACATGAATTAGGCAGTTTTTTTTCTCGATTGAATTTTTTTACAATTTTCATTTTTTGGCCCATTTATATCTGACTATGTGGTAAGGGTTTTACTCATTTTTGAAGGCAGAATTGTGACCTATAGCTGTTAATTTATATGTCATTTGGTTTCTTGTGGAGAGTTTTCAAAATTGCAATCATACCACATCTTCATATTTTTATATCTGTAATTAGGTATTGTATTATTATAGAAGCAATAAACTAGAACCGTTCATTATCTTTAATGTTACCTTGAAACAAGGATTTAATGTAACCGTCAACATACATACCTTAAAGTTGGTATTATTTTACATCCAGGTCCTACTTTCCTTCGATTTTCCTTCACTAAATCATTTACGTGTTTTCAAAATATCCAGGATAACTGAAAAAAAATTGAATCCATCAACTGTGATAGTTTTAAACACTTATTGAAGGCCATATGTTGACCAATAGTTGTTAACTTATATATCTTTTAGTCTCTGGTGGAGTCAGTTGTCTCATTGGCAATTATACCACATCTTATTTTGATATCTATACATGTATATGGAATTTAGTCAATTAATCAACATCTAATCATAGCAGTTAATACAGATAAATTAGATACAATATTGCTAAAGTGACATATAGGTCCAATGGGCCAGGTGTAAATATCAAATTGCTATGTATATACATGTAATTGTTTAGATGTATGTTATGATACACATGTCACTATAATAAATAATAACTTATAACTTACTTATACATAACATTTTATCTAATAAATATACATGTATATTATCATGGCATAATAATACTTCTTAATTTACTAGGCTAATTCTCGTGAATTTTTATAGTTTTTTATTTTTAGTTTATGCATGATTTTTTTTTCAACCTATGAATTCTTATTTGTAATACATATTTTGGTCATAACTGTAAATTGTGACCTGTGGAGCAGGAACTGTGTACCCTTCCTATTCTTTCAGGAGCACCATTGTTAAAATTCTCCATTTTGTTGGGTTGATATTAGGGGTCATCCATAATTGTCAACAATTTTCCAAAGTGTACAAAACAAACACTTTTAGAGACCCCCCTTCCCTCCCTTAAAAAGTGTACATCAACCATTTTCAGATTTCAAGACAAGATTCAATCATTCTTAAAAAAATTAAGATGCTGTCTATTATAGTTTAGTTTAATATAGAAATTTGTATTGAAAATAACTGAAACATATCTGACTGTTTTATTTGATAAAAAAAAGTGTACTTTAAAAATGTTGATTTTTTACCCCCCTCCCCCCCCCCCAAGTGTACGTTTTGTACACATTGGAAAATGGTTGACAATTATGGATGACCCTTTACTCAATCTGGTTTTCTAGTTAGTGTCAGATTGCTCCCTTAGAAATTTATCCCTTTTCTACACTAAAACAGAATATCAATGAATATTTTTGGTGCTCCATGTTAATTATCTTGTGGACTTACGTAATACTATATCCAGACGTGAATTTATACATCAAAATCATAACTACTCAAATGAAATGACTAGACATCTACTATATGTACCTTATGCATATTTACCTTGTCTTTTGAATGTTAAAGCTTCATGCAGATCCGGTTGTGATGTTCCTCATCTGGGAGATTAATCAGTATATAATCATTCTTCCTTTTTACAAGGATAGGTTGTTGGCATATCTCTCAATCCCAAACTTGGAGAACCAGAGAATCTTTACTCAAGCTTTATTTCCTTTAGATCAATTGCAGACCAAGGCTGACGAGTCAAATCTACCAAAAATTTCATATCAGAGTTTTCTTCTCCTAGACATCCTTTCAAGGCTGATGACCATCATTCAGCCGGCTATTTAACCCATAACTGGGGCAAGGTTGATGAATGCTAGGGATGTCCGCTCGTCGATCGGCCTACACACTTCATCTCTAGGGTCCTTGCTACTCCGAGATCCTCTACAGTTAAGCCTAGGACACTAGATCCTAGTTACCATGTGCTGTCACGGGGAGGCACTGTAGAAGTCTTGTTAGTGTAGAGGCTATGTACTGGAAGGAAAGACTTACGCACTCAGCTTTCTTTTCACCTATGAATATAAGCTATCCAGCGGCAGTGTAAGAGTCTATGACTCCCAACCACACTAGACGCATACACAAACCTGTGGTACCACCACCAGCACACAAAAAAAAAGGGGTCATTATTTCAAATTTAGAAAAAAGAAGGTTATTTATTTAAATTTAGAAAAAGAAATGGTTATTTATTCAAATTTAAAAAAAGAAATGGTTATTTATTCAAATTTAATAAAAACGAAGGTTTATTTATTTATAATTTTAAAAAAGGAAGGATTATTTATTTAAATTTTGAAAAAGGAAGGTTTATTTATTTAGATTTAGAAAAAGGAATGGTTATTTATATAAAAACTATAAAAGGAATTATTTATTTAAAATCCAGAAAAGAAAGTGTTATTTATTTTAATCCAGAAAAGAAAGTGTAATTTATTTAAATTCAGAAAAGAAAGAATTATTTATTTAAAATCCAGAAAAGAAAGTGTTATTTATTTTAATCCAGAAAAGAAAGTGTTATTTATTTAAATTCAGAAAAGAAAGTGTTATTTATTTAAAATCCAGAAAAGAAAGTGTTATTTATTTAAATTCAGAAAAGAAAGTGTTATTTATTTAAATTCAGAAAAGAAAGTGTTATTTATTTAAAATCCAGAAAAGAAAGTGTTATTTATTTAAATTCAGAAAAGAAAGTGTTATTTATTTAAATTCAGAAAAGAAAGTGTTATTTATTTAAAATCCAGAAAAGAAAGTGTTATTTATTTAAATTCAGAAAAGGGAAGTGTTCATTATTTTGAAATTTATAATGCATTTCATCCAAAAGTACAGGGTTATTTGTACTTCACAAACTTTAAAGCAACTAAACAGTATCAGAACAGTGTGAATACAACAGCAACACATTACTTACTTCCCCTCCTTACCCAGCAACTTCTTCATCTCTATTACACCAGGCCATGGGGTAGCCCTCCCCGACCTCCAAGCCCTTAAATACACTGGACTCTCATGGGTTAACCCTCCCCGACCCCAAGCCCTTAAAAACAAGTCCCTGGATTCCCATGGGGTAACCCTCCCTGACCCCAAAACCCTTAAAAACAAGTCCCTGGACTCCCATGGGGTAACCCTCCCCGACCCCAAACCCTTAAAAAAAAGTCCCTCGACTCCCATGTGGTAGCCCTCCCCGACCCCCAATCCCTTAAAACAAGTTCCTGGACTCCCATGGGGTAACCCTTCCCGACCCCCATCCCTTAAAAACAAGTCCCTGGACTCTCATGGGGTAACCCTCCCTGACCCCAATCCCTTAAAAACAAGTCCCTGGACTCCCATGGGGTAACCCTCCCCGACCCCCATCCCTTAAAAACAAGATCCTGGACTCCCATGGGGTAATCCTCCCTGACCCCCAATCCCATAAAAACAAGTCCCTGGACTCCCATGGGGTAACCCTCCCTGACCCCCAAGCCCTTAAAAACAAGTCCCTGGACCCCCATGGGATAATCCTCCCCGATCCCCATGCCCTTAAAAATAAGTCCCTGGACTTGTTTTGGGTTAACTATCCCCTATCCCCTTGCCCTTAAATACAAGTGCCTGGAGTCTCACTCTCCCTTTCATCAGACCCCTAGGCTTCTCCTCCAAGACCTCTGAGCTCTTAAATTCCAGTTCCTGGACGTTGCCTCATTCCACCCAACCTGCTCCAAAGCTGAGTCCCATGTCAACTATATATAAAGCTGTTGCTATGTGGGGCGAGGGTATAATTAAAGAAAACGAAGAAGAAAACATCAGCAAGCCAGTACAAACTTAACCTTTTATTCTATCCATACAGTGTTAATGGTTGTGGGTGTCATGCTAAGTGAACGGGCTTGGGTATTGTGATTGGGTATCGTGATTGGGTATTGTGATTGGGTATTGTGATTGGGTATCGTGATTGGGAATCGTGATTAGGTATCGTGATGGGGTATAGTGATTGGGTTTTGTGATTGGGTATCGTGATTGGGTATCGTGATTGGGTTTTGTGATTGGGTTTCATGTCTAGTTTATAGGTAATGTTCTACTGACTTGCTAGTATTCAATTTTAAACATTTTAAAAAAAAGTAAGCAATGTATTCATGTTGCAATCATACCCTTTAATAATGCAGTATTGTTAAATTCAAGTTGTTGGAAGTCCAAATCTCAGTGAAACACTGAAAAATAAAATTTTCAAACTAATTTAGTTATTGTGAGCTAAATTTTGATATCTAAATTTAGGAAATGGAATGGTTATTTATTCAAATTTGGAAAAAATGAACAGTTATTTATTTTAATTCAGAAAAAGATAATTACTTAGTTATGTCTTTAAAAAAGCATTTTTACTCTTTATCAACAATTACATGGATATATTTTAATGCTTCTTTAATAAATTTTAGTGATTTGATTGAAATTTAATAAAAAAAAAATTAAAAATTGCCAAATTTTGTTTGAAATCTAACAAATTTTGTTTTTATCGTTAAAATTAAATAAATTTTGGAGACTTTGTTTAAAATTTAATAAATTTTGATGTTTTTATTCAAAATATTTAAAAGGAAAGTTCCCGTGAAAATAATGTATCCATTACTTCCATCACGACATAATTCAATTCCGCCTTCCCATGAAAATAATGTATCCATTACTTCATCACGACATAATTCAATTCCGCCTTCCCATGAAAATAATGTATCCATTACTTCATCACGATATAATTCAATTCCGCCTTCCCATGAAAATAATGTATCCATTACTTCATCACGATATAATTCAATTCCGCCTTCCCATGAAAATAATGTATCCATTACTTCATCACGATATAATTCAATTCCACCTTCCCATGAAAATAATGTATCCATTACTTCATCACGATATAATTCAATTCCGCCTTCCCATGAAAATAATGTATCCATTACTTCATCACGATTTCATCAAAATCCTGATGATGTTCTGTGTTTCTCAACCACTATCCAGTCTATCAGAAACATTCTGAAATTAAACTGAAGAAAGGATTAAAATACCTGAAAAAAAACTATTAATTATTATACATATTTATTACAGTTTTTTTTTTTTTTTTTTTTTTTTATATAAAAGTAGAATGTTTGTCACCACCAAATTATCAGAGACCATCTTTCCAACACATTACTTCAAATTAAAATTAAATGTATTGCAGGTTACTTTTGATATTAATTAACAAACATGAAATAATAAAAACAAATTTTATGTTATTTTTTATCACAAATCTGCAATGTTTTGTGTTTGAATCAGTCCCAATAAAATATCTCTATGAAATGTTACTTTCAGCTTTCAGGGAAAAAAACTACTGACCAAAATATTAAAAAGGTATAGACTTTTGCATAAAATACCAAGTAATATGAGGAAACCAATCGTATGCAGGAAAAGCTCAGTTGTAGTGACTTTTATTCTCAGTATTACTAGTGACAGATAAGTACTGAAACTTGTACTAACAAGAGATCTAAACACCTCTACAACTATAACCTCCACTGGACAATTGTAAGTTCTAAAATAAAACAAGTATGGACGTCATGCAGTCAGATAAAGCAGAGGTATCTACTGCGCCAACTGTAGGGCAAATTGATTTTTTACCAGTGTATATGTCATTATGTTTTACTTTATTGTACTGTCAACTCCAAGAACTTTTTTTGTTGGTGACTGTCATATTTCTTTGCTTGTGTGATTTTTTTGTGTGTGAATTTTTTGTGTGTGAATTTTTTGTGTGTGATTTCGTTGTGTGTGAATTTTTTGTGTGTGAATTTTTAGTGTGTGAATTTTTAAGTCAGTTGTGTTGTATGTTTACACAATTTTGGCTCCTCTGTCGTTATTATTGTAATGTTAACCAATTATGTCAATAAAAAGAAACAAGTAAGGCAAATACCACTGGTTTTCAATTTGTTCAGGTCGTCATCATGGAGTGGACCATTTGACTTAACCAGGCTTTATAGATTCCCCCTTTTTGAATTTACCATGAAGTCTATGTAAATAGATATGGCACTATGGGATGATTTTTAAGGTCATATTCAAAGAGGAGACCCTCAAGGTTGATCAAGGATGTCAAGGTCAGAGTCATGCATGCCCTTCAGAACGATGTTCATAATACAGCATCTATACTAAAATAAAAACCTATAAATAACTGGTCTGAAGAAAAAGTTATGAAAATTAAAAAAAAAAAATTATGAAAGCTAAAGACAAAACAAAAATTGAATAAATTCATTAATATTGACTTTAAAATCTACTGGAACAGTTATACATTTAATCTGACTCTAAATTTGACATTAACCAATTTTTCTTTAAATAGTAAATTTTTCCTAGCTCAGAAATACCAAACTGTTCTGAAAATTACTAGAATTATAAACATTCCTAAATAACTTCCCTCCACAGAACAGTACACAATAGCCTTAAGATATCTGTCTCTCTGCTCTCTATTATTATCTCATTCATTCATTCATTCATTCATTCACACATCTTCCAGACAACCTATTTAGGAAGTATCATGTTAGTTATCCCACCCAGGTTAGTTCTTGATACTTTGTGAATAAAATGGTTTTATATTGATGTACTAGACATGGAGGGATGATTAAACAAGAAGTTTCATTTACCAGGTTTCCAGGTGTAAGGTGCATTAAGAGCTAATTAAGAAAGGTGTTATTTTATTTTACATTTTACAAAATAGTTTAGAAAAAATCCAAATAAAAATAAGTCATGTTTATCAAAAAGAAAAAGATATTGTAAGATGGCAACGATAACTGAGAGAACATAAACATCTGACCTTTCTAAACCTTATCTCTAAGACCTTGGCAATTTGAGACTTTTCTGATCTCAATGATTTACTCATTCATTTCAGTTGTACATTGTCACTACATCTTCTATATAGTTTTTTTTCCCACAAAACAGATCTCGTCTTGCTGATTATTTGTAAATTCTTTTAAAATTTTTCTCTCTCTATAATATAGTTTTTATTCTATCTATTCTATCCCTCTATAATATAGTTTTTATTCTATCTCTCTATAATATAGTTTTTAATCTATCTCTCTATAATATAGTTTTTATTCTATCTCTATCTCTCTATAATATAGTTTTTATTCTA